AGGTGTTGCTGTGGATAACAATATCATCCAAGTAAGCAGCAGCAAAGTCAGAGCAGTCATGTAATACCTGATCCATCAGCCGTTGGAAAGTTGCTGGAGCTCCATGTAGTCCAAATGGCAAGACTGTAAATTGGAAAAGCCCCCATGGTGTTCTGAATGCTGTGAACTCTCTGGACCGTTGAGTGAGTGGGACCTGCCAGTAACCCTTACACAGATCTATTGTGGTCAGGTACCTTGCTTTTCCCAGACGTTCAAGTAGATCATCAATTCTTGGTGTCGGGTAGGAGTCAAACATGGATATGGAGTTCAGGTACCTGAAATCAATGCAGAACCTCATACTCTCATCCTTTTTGGGTACCAAGACCACAGGGTTGCACCATTCACTCTTAGATCTTTCAATGATCCCTAGAGATAGCATCAAATCGATTTCCTTCTTCAATGAAGGCAGCAGACGTTCTGGGATCCTGTAACTTAATCGTCTCACAGAGGCACCTTCTCGTACCACAATATCATGTTCGACAATGTCAGTTCTCCCTGGATTCTCTTGAAAGACTGCTGATTTACACATTTCTCTCACCTGCTGCTGCTTGTCCTCTGGGAGATGGCTGAGATCATAATCCAGAGAGCCAGCAGGTGGTAGATATTGCTCATCTGCTTCATCTTCTTCAGGCACTCGCCGTATGAGCATTGCATCTGCCTTGTGTTCAATACGCTCCACCCACTCCTTCAGAAGGTTTATATGCAAGACCTTGCTGGAGCGCAACTGCCCTGGGGTGGACACCTCATATGTGGTGGGTCCCAGCTTCCTCATGACTTCAAATGGCCCCTGCCACTTTGCCAACAATTTGTTGTTGTCACTGGGGAGGAGCACGAGCACCTTTTGTCCTGGCTCAAACGCACGCTGACGAGCAGATTTATCATACCAAGACTTCTGCTGCTGCTGGGCCTCCACCATATGTGATTGAGCAAGTTCACTCATTTTCTCCAACCGTTCTCTCATCTGAATGACATAAGACAAAATGTTCTTGGATCCCTCCTCCACCTTGTCTCCCTCCCAGATCTCCTTTAACAGAGTTAGAGGGCCGCGAACCTCATAACCATACAACAGCTCAAAAGGTGAAAAACCTGTGGAGGCTTGGGGGACTTCTCTATAAGCAAGAGTAGATAGAACTTTATTAATCCCTCGGGTGGGTTCCTCTGGGAAATTCGATTTCCAAAAAAGCACAGCACCGACAGAAGTTACAGAGTTACAGAATATTATATATATATTTTGTATAAGCAAAGAGTAGATATGGCAGCCATTGATCCCAATCGTTACCACTGTCGTTGACAAACTTCCTGAGCATCTGTTTCAATGTCTGGTTAAACCGTTCTGTCAGCCCATCAGTTTGAGGGTGGTATGGTGAAGTTCTCAGACTCCGGATGCCCAACAACTGATAAACTTGCTTTAACAGAGTAGACATGAAGTTAGTGCCTTGATCAGTTAGTATTTCTCGTGGAAACCCAACTCTTGCAAAGAACTGCACTAAACAAAATGCAATGGGCTTGGCCTTTATAGATTTTAAAGGGAACACCTCAGGATATTTTGTGGCATAATCTGTTACAACAAGCATGTAACGATTTCCTGCTTTGCTCCTCTCAACAGGCCCTACAATATCCATTCCAAGACGCTCAAAAGGAGTGCCGATGACAGGGAGAGGTTGGAGTGGAGCTCTATGGGGGATTTTAGCAGATGTTATCTGACACTGTGGGCAACTTTTACAAAACTGAGCCACATCTTTGCTAAGACCAGGCCAGTAGAAATGATGTTTGATGCAAGCTGTGGTCTTGTGTTTACCAAGGTGGCCAGCCCACGGAATAGAATGCCCTAAGGTGAGAATGGCGTTTCTAACCTTCTGGGGAACCACCAGCTGCAGCACCGACCCCTGCTGACAATAGAGAATGTCATTTTGCAAGATGTACTCACTGTTAAGAACCTGCTCCACTCCAGGTTCCTTTTCTTTGGCCTTCCGGAAAAGAGATATTAAAGATTGATCAGATTTTTGGAGTTCAGCGATTTCAGTTGGAATATTAAACCCTAGGGGTGACTGTGTTGGCTCAGCGTCTGTTAGTGTATCCACAGGTGAAAATTTGAATTTCTCCTGCCTTCTTTGTCTGCGGGTCTTCCGTGGCTTCACTACAGTTATCTCAAACTCCTCATTAAAAAAAGGAAGGGCACTCAGGGTCTCAGAGTGGGTACTGACTTGCTTAGCCTGAGCTCTGGTAACAGCTACATTGCACTCCTCAGTCTGCTCAGACTCCAACAAATCAAAAAGCACAGGAAGGTCACGCCCTAACACAGCAGAGTAAGGCAAACTGTTCACAACACCCACATTCAGCAGACACATCTGGTCCTGAACTTTAATGTAGATGTCAGCTGTCGGATATCTTTTCTCATCTCCATGGACACAACAGATTGAAATTGTATCACTGGTGCGAACAATATTAGGTGGGGCAAAATCTGAGTGAATAAGAGACCGAGAACTGCCAGAGTCAAGAAGGGCATTGAGTAGAACCCCATTCACTTCAATCTGACTCATTTTGATGGATTTGTCACTCTCCTACTCAGGATCAGCATTAGAACGAGGGGCAAAGCACATTTGCACCATTTTAGCAGAATTTCTTGGGCACATAGGTTTTGTATGGCCCTCTAATCCACAAAGATAACAAATGAGCTTCTTACCGGAGGCCTTTGGTGGTCTAGTGGTAGACTGAGAGGTCTTACTGGTGCTTGTATTTGCTGAATCCAGATGGTTTTGCTGAGGTATCTTCCAGGTGTCCCTCGATGCCTTCCATGCATTATGGCTCCATGCTTGCCCCCTCTTTCTGGCAGCAACAAAAACATCAGCTAACCGACCCGCTTCCATTGCTGAACCAGGGTTGTGTAAAGAAACAATATTGAACAATAAGTAGAATATTTTAAAGTAGTGACTGTAAATTAAACTAAAGTGAATCAATGGGTGGTGAGGTGTGGAGCTTACCATGTGTGGCATGCCATCACACTTGGCCTCCAGTAACGCTGTGAGGAACCTTGGAGTCATTTTTTACCAAGACATGTTCTTCAACGCACATATTAAACAAATATGTAAGACTGCTTTCTTCCATTTGCGCAACATCTCTAAAATTAGAAATATCCTGTCTCAGAGTGATGCTGAAAAACTAGTTTATGCATTTATTACTTCCAGGCTGGACTACTGTAATTCATTATTATTAGGAAGTCCTAAAAACTCCCTAAAAAGTCTTCAGTTAATCCAAAATGCTGCAGCAAGAGTACTGACAGGGACTTATACAGCCACATATCACCTAGCACGCAAGTGATCAGCATGGCTGAGGGAATGACATCAATGGAACATCAACAACAAGACTGCAAAAGGAAGCAATTAGGGACATCCGATCTACGAACTGAGCCACTGGAGCATCCGTATCTCACCTTCTATACAGACAGATATTCATACAGGGGAGGAAATTTGCTATGGAGAGATGTGGAACATCGGTACAAGGAAACATCACACAACCTGCCTTAGCTCAGATGGCAGAAATCGTGGCTCTCACCAAAGCTCTACAACTTTCAGAAGGAAAAAGAGTAAAACATCTATACAGACTCAGCAATTCATGTCAATGGACCACAATGGAGACAGTTTTTACAGCCAATATTCCAGTAAAACAGAAAGAACAATTGGAAGAACTGATACAAGCTGCCCAAGGGAAGTGGCAGTGAGGAAATACAAGGACATCAAATGAACCAAACATGGCGGGAAAAGGAAAAGTACCACCTTCTCTCTTCCACACTCCGTCCACCAGCATCTTGTTGTTTTTCTCCCTCTGCATCAGGTTTTCCTTCAGGTGTGACATCCATTATCACTGCATTCAGGGTTGCTGGATGACTGGTGTCCCCAGGTGTGCTGTCAGATTTAGGCAATCTAAAACAGTCAGGTAGTTCAGGGTAGAGTTTAAGCACAGTAGAAACTCCAGGAGTTGTAGTTGGCAGCCCAGTTCTTTGTGATGATGACTGTGATTTTTGGTCTTCCCCTTATAACTTGCAGTCTGGATCTTGGATTCTTACTCGTCTTCCTTTTCCTCTTAGCATCCAGTAGCACATATCTATTGTCATCATGTGCTCTCGCTTTTTGTCAGTTTCCTTCCTCTTGGAGCCTCCTGATTTCCTTCCTTCTTCCTTCCTTTCTCAGTGTGCTTGCTCATATTCTTCATTAGCTTGTTTCTCTATTTGGAATATGGTTTCACTCCTGGGTATGTAATTTCTTGTTACATTTGTTATCCATTGTAGATCTTGCTTTCTTATCCTTTATACCATCCAGCATCCGGTTGTTGACATATTTCTCTAATTGATCCAAATTCTCCATTCTGGGTGAAATTACAATGCTCGCCATTACGTTTTTATTTAAATTCTCTTTTTATTGTTTTTGTTCAAGTTCCTCCCTTTTTCTTTTTTTCTATCTGGTTTTTGTTTTCTTCTAGGAACAAGGGCTCCCTTACTCCCAGGTCTAATTATTATTACATCTTTCTTTTATTCTTTGAAACCGAAACCGAAATTCAACTTCACCAATGACTAAGAATTAGACACTCAATGTCTATTTTGAAACGATGACAAAGCAATGCTTTTCTCTTTTCCCGAAACTGCAAATATCAATTTTAACAATAAAATAATACTAAAAATAAAAACTGCAAACTTAATGATTTTAATTCAAAGCAAGCAAAATCACAGCTATTCAACCCAGCTGGTAATTAATTCAAAAAAGAAAAACATTGTATTAAACTAATAAAAGATGAGATCAACCATGCCAAAATTCAGCTTAGGAATTAATTAAAAAATAATCTCTAACAAGACTTGATAAGAAATTAATCAAACATAATAAGATTTGATTTATCAATAAACGTAACAGTAATTATTTCAGAATCGAACAAAACAAATATGAGAATGAATTGAGGAATTGATTCACTCAGTTAACTATACATTACACAGATAAGAGTCAATCAAAGAAAATTATACAGCATAAACAGAATAGCAGTTAATTTAGAACTGTTAACATTTATCAGTCCGACAAAAATCAAATATAAGATCAAATGTAAAAGCAAAAACTAACCCCAAGACTATTAACTTGTCACCAACTGATAATAAAAATTAATCTCAAGATTAACTGCAAGGATCAGAAACATATACCGGAAATTCTATAGCTTTCAGCTGATTACAGACTGATAACAATATCAAATTAAACTGATCAATATTCAAAAACAGACACGAAAACAAATGCCAAACTTTATAGCTGTTTCCAATTTAAGGGAGAATCAGAATAGAAACCCAATTAGCGGTTAACTCTATAGCTGTTAACTGATAACAACAAATTGCAAATCAGTAGAAAGATCAAAAATTCAAAAAAATAAACATAAAACAAATACCAGTTAATTCTTTTAGCTACTGACTGACGATAACAAACAAAAAATAAGAGTCAATTTAATATTTATCTTCAGAAACACCAAATTGTTTATCAAACAAAACCAAGTCAGACATTTCACATTTAACCATATCAGATAAAAACAAAACCGTAGGTCAATTTAGTATTTAAGGTTTCAAAATCATTAAACTGTTTATCAAACCATTTAGCCTAATGAGACGAAAGTTAAACTTTCTGGAGATTTTTACTGTGCTATGCAAAAAACAATCACACAGCATTTCATAAAAAGAATATCACATCAAAAAAAAGTAGTTGTGGTAGTGTAATGCTTTGGGGCTGCTTTTCTGCTTTGGTAACTGGGTGACTTGTCATAGTTTAACATAAAAAAAAAAAAAAATTTTTTTTCTAAAACATTAGAAAATCCTTCAGGAGAATGTCTGGTCATCAATTTCTGCCCTGAATCTTTAGCACACTTGAGTTATAAGGCTGAGCAATGATCCAAAGCACCCCAAATCTCTCTAAGTTTCACTATTCTCCTTGTTCTCTTGTTTCTTGGGTTGAATGTTCCATTGCAGTTTGAAATCAGTCAATCCTTGACTTGTTAGCTTGGCTCTTAGCTGTGATAGAATAGAAAGATAAGTAGGTGGTTTCATCATTTTGTTGAAGCTATCTGTCAGTATATTTATCCATTGCTCTTTCAGTTTTTGTTTGTTTGTTTGCTTTTTTTTTTTTACAGAAGCAAAAACAAGGATTTTACCTGCTGGAGGATCTGGGCATTAGTTGCAGAGTCACTTAAGTCAACATCAGTCACAAACTTCAGCTTCACTGTCGTCCTCAACTTTGCAACTTAGAAGGAAACGTGTTGTTATAAAATAACAGTAAGTTTTGACAAATTGAGAAACAGGAGTTAGGGTTAGTCAGGACAAGTTTTCTTTATGTGTGTGTGTGTTATTGAACATTTACCTTGATGGCAAATGAAAGCATATTTTATTGTACATATGTCGTCATCCCACACGTGGAGGTTATTCTCCACCACACAATGCTGGTTACCCGGAGGGTTATTTGGGCTGGAACTTCGCCAGTTTTTAAAGGAGCTCTGACTCTTGTCAGACCAGGTCCATGGCACTCGGTACAGACCGATCCAAATGTCATCACTGTTTGGTTTTAATGAACTGACCTCAGCGTTCTCCTCACTGTTTTCGATCACTGCCAAGTTCATGCTTAGTTTTATGCAATGTTCTCGAGCAGAGGTCCAATTTTTTGTAGTAGAGATGTACATGTAGTTTTTCTTGTTTTGCTCTGTAACTGCAGCAGATAGAAAATGAACCAGTGAGAGGGAAACACATGAAGCAAGTGTTTAAGCATCCATGGCAGATGATAGATGTTCAATTTATTAGGGATATTAATCAGTTAGCATTGCAGTGAATGATTACAAGTTTTGGATAATCAATTTAATGTTTTCAAATAAGTTCAAACTTTTTGAGCTAAGGTTTTTCTTATATTTTATACAGCAAATCTTCAGTGATGATTTCTGCCAAATCTGCCAGTGAAAAATGCAGGTGAAGTCAGTAGTCAGGTCAGTAGGTGAAATCCATGAATGAAAATATTTTCTTACCATTGTAGCAAGCAAAAGTTTTGTTTTCACCACAGTTTTTATCGTACCACTTTCCTCCAAGACCCATTATCACACAGGTTTCTTTTGCAAGATAATAATCTGGTTGAGTAGAGTCCCAGTTGTGGTAATCAATTTTGCTCGTTTCACCAGTTATTGCCCATCTCCAGGAGTTGGTGTCATTGCCTAACGTATTCTTCCAGGATTCAGGGTCATCCTGCAGTCCAATCCATGCCCAGTCGTAGGAAAAAGATGAATTTAGCCTGCTTATATCATCCATGCTTTCAATGGTGGCCAGGTCTGTGTACTTCTCTCTGCAGTATTGTTGAGCATCGTTCCAGCTAATTTTTTTGTCAACGTAGTAGTACTTACGAGGAGGGAACTTTGAGCAGGAGCAGAGACTAAATCCTTAACAATGATAATAGATAGCATAAGTAGTATTAGATTCCTCACAGTACACACAAGAAAAGGGTAAAACAAACACTAGAAAGCGAAAATTTCTGAAGAAATTTTAAGTGTGCCTATGCCGCTGCCAATGAGTATAGTTTGCCATTCATACGGCTCCAAAAATAAAATCCAAATAAGGGTAGACAGGCCGTACTACTGCTGGCATACCACTAGAGTGAGCCAACACACCACAAATGAAGTGAGTGAGCCAACACTCCACAAATTAAGTTTCACTTTCGTTTCAAGTTAAGTTTCACTTTCCGTCCCATTCATTTCAATGGGAAAAAACTTGCATTAAAATATTCATATTTAAAAAACTATAGAAGTAATAAACACCAAAAGTCATAGCACACCATTCCTGATCCAGCCGCACAAAATGATATAACATATATGAAGCTTGTGTCAAAACTGTGGGATGAGTTACGCGCGGAAATTTCAGGCTGAAAAAGGAAAATAATAATAATAATAATAAGAATAATAAATCCGAGCAATAGTAATAAGTGTGCCTTTTGGCATAGGCACACTTAATAAATCCGAGCAATAGTAATAAGTGTGCCTTTTGGCATAGGCACACTTAATTAAAGATTCTTTTTGCCCTTATAATTTAAAAAAATTTTTTTTGACAGGCTACACAGGGTACCAGTCTACTAATATAAAAACTGCTAAAGGAGGGCAGTAATGTTGCAGTAATGACCAAATGTTATATGATCAATATTGAATTCAGTGTTTGCCATTATATTTGGGATTTAAGTATCTGCATACAGTTTTTGTAATAGAAAACATTTTTATTTTTAAACATATCCCAACAGCATATTTTACTTTGTTGCTGGGGTCATGAATGGGTCATAACTACTCGATTATCTGAAGACGAAACAATAATTCAAGTTTATTTCAACCGTGGCATATTTACCTTTTTAGTCAGAGCTTAGACACAATGTTAGAATTTTAGAGTTGCTCCTGAAAGACTTGATTTTGGGCTCTTTTATGGATTCCAGTTCAAATAACAATGGGCAACACTGTAAAACTGTAAGGAATCTTGAAATCATTTTATATATGTCCTTCCAGTATATATCCTTCTGTGTCCATATTAAACAAATATATTGGACTGCTTTTTTGCATTTACACAATATCTCTTCACAATCTTCAGCTGATCCAAAATACTGAAGCAAGAGTGACAAGGACTCGAAAGAGAGACAATATTTTTTACCGTATTGGCTTAATTGACTTGTAAGCTAAATTGAAAAGTGTGTTGTTGTTTTTTAGTAGCATGAAAGCACTCCAACAGGCCACTTTTCTTGGTAGGTAGCGCCATAATTTTAATCACATTTACTGGCAGTAAACCTTTAATGTAAGTTCCTCATAAAAGTAATGTTACTCAACACTTGTTTGTGTATGCTCTGCAGCTCTCCATTGAAACAGACACATGGAGCAGAGCAGTTGCTCATAAAAGAGAGACGTGAAGTTCTTGTCCCTGAAAATTTATGAGTGAGAGTTGAGGAAGTGTCTGCATGGGAGTAGTTCATGTTATGCACAGTGTCAAAGGTATAGCTTTAGAAGATCATTTTTAGGGGTTTATATAATGCCTGGAAAAGGAGTATCAAGTTATTGTTTCACCTCTTTGCACCTCCTCAAAGTGTTAATAAAATGAAACATATAATTCTTTTTGACACACTGTTTTCATAATTGAATGTTTTTTATGGCTTCCTTTTCAACTTTACAATTCAAATCACACATTTCCATTATACAAATTTGGGATCTTACCAAAGAAGAGGAGAGTTAGTGTTGGGAAACAGCCCATTTCTGATTTCACTGTAAAGAGAAGGAAATAGGTATAAATAAAACACCAACTTTAGAGCTTTTGCATTACTTTGCATTTGTTTCCAGGTTTCTCTGACTGACGTGTTAATCAGTTAAAGAATGACATAACATGCTTTTGAGAATGAGAATAAGCTCAGAAAATAATGACTTTAAAAGTTTACTTTGGGGATGTGTTAAAAAAAAGAAGATTACTATTGTTAATAAATAAATATATATTCTTAGTGCTTATTTGCTGATTATATATTCTTTTATGTATTTTAATAAGAGAGGGCCAGCTCTGAGTGTAAACTAGGTCGCAGGCTGACAGAAAACTGCATGCTTTTGCAGAGCACAGAAGGTGCAGACGGAAAGGTGCGATCTGATATGAGGCGGACACGAGACCGGTCTAAAAAGATTTAAAGGTAAGCACAAGCCTGTTCAAAGAAAACGCAAATTTGTGCACATTGGATGAATTCTAAATTATCTGTTCGCCGAATGGAAGATCTCAACCTTTAAATTGGCTCAGGAGTGGCGAAATTAAAGCAAATTATAAAATCTGGTAAGTAAATTTCGGGTGACATGTCCATGGTAATTTTGGGTAATTTGTGATAAATTAAATTAAAGTTTGGGGATATTTGATGAAAGCTTATTGTTGTTAATGCTGGGGTGAAGTTCAAAGTTGTTGTGACGTGTGTTTTGAAAATATACGACACTAGATACTTAAATTAATGTATAAATAAATGTATAAAAATTACAGTAAAATTTGTTCTAACAGTCTAATTGCCCAGATAAATTATTTGTTTACTTATTTTACTGTAGACACAAGAGAAAGAAACAGATTTTTTTATACTACATTGTGAAAAAACAGGAACTTTTCTGTCATTTAATTGTTTATCTATTACTTCATCACTTTGATGTAGTTTGAATGGCTCTGGGGGACGTCTTACAGCTAAGAGTCCAAAAGTTAAGCCCTCTGTCACATTGTTGAAAGATGTCTTTCATTTTCTTTTTCAGTGTTTATTTTTGGTCAATATTAAACTAAAAAGAGACAAACACTGTTCATTTATTGACATAGAATATATGCAATAGAATGAATACATATTGTTCCATCTGTAATTTCTATGTAAAGAGACAATAAAAAAACATTAACAATAACAAAATCTAAATGTATTATAACACTCAAATGGTGAAAATATAAAGATATACTTACAAGTTTGTTGAATATTGTTTTAAGGTTGAGATCTGAATGCTCCACATATGAATGCAGACGATGAATTGGCCACCCTTCAGTCAGTCAGTCAGTCAGTCAGTCAGTCAGTCAGTCAGTCAGTCAGTCAGTCTTCGACTTTATTTTCATATGTAAATCATAAGACAAATTAGCTGGTAACACGCATCCAATAAGTCACTGTGACATACTTGACTAGAAGACCAACAGTGATGTTGTGTAAAAGAAGGAGATGAGATGAAGCTCAGATCACTTTCTACATGCAGCAAGATGTTAGAAAGCTTCAATCACTTCGCCGGTAGTTGGATGGGGCCGGTCCCTTCTGGGGGTCCTTAAGGATCAGGACTGTCCGGCCTTCTGTTAGCCAGAAGGTTCCACAGAGGCAAGCTCTGAGCACAAGATCTATAAAGGCTGGAGTTCATCACACCAGGCAAGATCCCATGTGCTGTGTAAAGATGCCCCTGAAACAATCCAGCACATAACAGCAGTGTGCAAGATGCTAGCAGGCAGGGCATACATGAAACGCCATAACTAAGCAACATATGTTGTATGTACTTGTGCAAGTATTTGGACCAGTACATACACTGTAGGCAAATGTGTGTTTATGTGCGCTTAACGTATAATGCAAACTTATAGATTACGATCCAGACACAAAAAACTTTGTGTAGTTCATTTTGATGGGGTTGTAATTCACATTACTGCCCCATGAAATCACCAGATTAATTACAGTTTTTAAAAAAAGATCAAAATGAGCAAAATCCCACAGAGCTGGAAACATCTGTTTCTTCTGTTGCAGATAGTGCTGATTTCTGTGGCTTCAAACATTTTAACTGATCTCACTTTAACCTCCAGCAGCTGTTAAAATCAAAACACTTACTGTGACATGACTGCTGAAAGGGATGTGGCCAAGCATTCAACTTGCTGCAAGGGTTGAAACCAAGGTAGGGACCACATAGGACACATTTCACACATTCTTGTACCTTTTACATTATGGTGGTACCCACAGAACTGTCATGCCTTGTGGTGTTTTCATCTCGCCAGCCTGCTTCACCTACTGAAAACATCATTTAACAACATTTCAGGCAGTCGTAACTAAAATGAACTTTTGTTTTTTCCTCCTCCCCCACATACTTACAAACATCCAAGTAATATTTCTTTGTAGTTGCCTGGTGTTAAAACCTGCAATGCAGAGGCAGTGTTCTGCTCAATGTAATTTAAGGTTGTTTAACATTCCTTTTTTCTAACTTTAAACCTTAGTAAACAAAAATTATTAGATAAACAGCTAATTGCCTCCAACTCTCACACAATGATAAAAGATTTTTGCAGACTACGCAAACACAAAATGCAGCAATTCTACTTCAACAATTCAACTTTTTTTCAAGATCTATTGAGTCCAGAGTCCAACCTAATATTTCTGGCTCACAGTATTTCTGGTGCATTAACTTAAACATACAGCAAATGTAAATGAAAAAGACAGAAAACCAAAGATGCCAGTCTCAGTTTCCTGAATGAATGTTGTGCATATTCGTGCCTCTCAGTTGAGTCCTGGCAAAGTCTTCATAGCCTGTGTCCTGTTGTTGGGAAGGTTTACAGTAGTGGTGTTGACTTTAATAAATTACAAAATAACACAAGCAAAATAATATAGAGTATTGAAATTACATATTGAAGTATTTGCATTATTTTTTGCAAGGGTTATAACATGAATGTCAGCTGATAATGCCTTCAAATTATGAAGAAGTGCAAACAAGCTAAGTACAGCTCCATAACACTGGTGGTGAGGCCTGTGGAGGAGAATGATGCCTTTAGCTAAAGCTGTCAATCTGAGTGAAATTAAGGAACCTGATTATGTGATGGAGGGGATGCTGCCAATATCAAATATGTAATGACATAAAGTCAATACACTGAGAGGTCGATTTAATGAGCTACCAACTCTCTGAACAATATCACAAACAAATGGAATGGAATAATTATTTGTACAAATTTTGTTTCTGAAAGTAGGGCTATAATGTAATGGATTACTTTTTTGATAGTAGTAATCTTGACGTGGAGTAAAAGAAATTGTCTTTAAAAGTGATATTGCACAATGCTGCATGTGAATTTCTTTCTATGGTTGGAACAATCAATTTCTGACTAAGGCTGAGGACGTTTTTTTGCTATTCTTGATATTATATCTAAGGTTTTGTTACGATTACAGTTATTTTTCAGTTATTTATTTATAGAGCTAGAGTTTTAAAAGTTATATTTAACTTTTAGTTTTTACCTTTTGTTGGAATTCCAATAGAAACTAATCAACATTAAACATGATAAAATTTGTACCTGCTGATGTAATGAACAGTAATAAAAACTATTATGGAAAACAAATGTGTTGCTGACACCTTCAAACTGTTTTTCAAAATCCCGACTCCTCCATGCTACAGAATGGATCAGTCATTAGGCAGTTAGTTTGCTTCAGGCTCGTGTTATGTTCAGTCTATTTTTACAAATCATTTCTGAGGACGAAAAAAAACTAAACAGAAATGCTATGAAAAGAGTTTGTTTACAATTCTCTTTTCTACAACAATAAATATGGAACAATGGAAACATTTTAGGTATAGGTGTAAAATGTGTCATTTTACTAAAAATATAACAATTAATCTGTCAAGAGTCCTCCTCCTTTCAGCGGTGTTAGAATTCTCATCAAAGGATGTATTGCTTTTACATTTATCCACTGACAGAATGAGATGCTGGCATATTGAGCCCAGCGTGAATTAGCTTTCACCTTACTAAAGAGGTGTAAAGGGGATTCTGCCTAAAGCTTCAGTGAACAGATAGAGGAGGTGCTGCTCTAAATACTTGATCAATAAGACATCAATGAGAATTAGGTCTCTCTGGGCTTGTTGCAATGTAAAAGAGAACAAAAATAAACCAGGAATCATTTTATCCTCCACAATATAATTGCTGTTATTTACAATGATAACCTCTGAATTACTTCATTTGGTTAAGTTAAAAATGTTTTGACCTAAAATTTGTTAGTAATGATACAGGTACGAGTGATGGCTGTAAACTTGTAAAAAAATGGAATATACAAAGGTCTTTCAGTGAAGTCATGGCTATTAATATCTGTGAGTCATACAACAGAGTTTCAAACAAAGTTCAAAATCGATCATTCAACAGTTTTCATCTTTCCCCACCAAGTTTACAGCTCTAAGTCTCGCCTACTGAAGAGATGCAGTAAATCATTAAACAGATCCAATGATTAGGTGCATGTAACAAGCTAAAACTTCAGTATAATTGTGTGTATTTTATGTTTTAATTGCTATTTGTTAGAATCTTTACATTATTTTAACAAGTGTTAAATTTTCTATAACAGATGCAATGTAGACATCTGTTTTAGAAAATGTTAGCAAATGTTATTTAAACAAGAGCAAATGGTATTTGAAGAGGCTATTTTCAGCCGTGGATTATTACACATTTGTTGCCCCAGGGAAGTATTTACTGCAGCAAATATGGAACCTAAGTGCGAACATCCATCACAATAAAGGGGAATCCATTGCTGTGATCTGCGACACAAAGGCTGTATAACAGTTTAGATACAGGCAATATTAAATGAGTAAATTATGCATTTTGATCTTTTTATTGAAGAGATTTAAAAAAAAATCACATGGTCTATTGAAATATAACACAAAAATATGTAATCCCTGAATGTACAAAACTGCCCAATAGGCAAACTATAAGATACTTTGGACCTGAAACTATCTGCCTGTGAGAGGAAGATGAATGATTGATGATTTTCCACAATCTGCAATGCTGCTTAATAAAATGTGTCATTCATTTGGTTCATCTTAGCAGCCATAAAATGTACTGCAGCAGATGTCCACACTGTTGACATTTAAGATGATGACTTCTTTCACGCCTTCTGGCTATGTAGACCATTTCAGGGTTTTTATTCAGAGGTCATGGACACTTGGCTCCATCCAGAACTCCTCTCTGCTCATAAATTTCTGCTCTGAGCGAGCTCTCCACACTTCAAGTCAGACACTAGGCCTAGTTTGCAGTATTTGTTTTTAAAGCTTGAAAATTAGCCAAGACCTTATCTGATTGAAGAGACAGAAACCATCTATCACCCTATAGATGAATTTGCTGACTAAACATCAGTTTCGAGAATCTCCAACAACACGTGCTCTCGCTTCTTACAGTTTTTTGCAGAGTTGATTCCTCCTGCTTTGCACTCAGACAGTTTAATTAAATCAAGCACGTAAATTGATGGACCCTAAATGTATTACTGATCTTGTCATTTGAACTGCAAAAAAATAGAAAATGGTAAATGGAATGAAAATATGAGGTTGTAGAGGCTCTTATTCTGCTCTCATGTGAATGAAGGTAGTGTCATGCCAGTTTGATAACATCGCAGCACTTGTTAGTGTAAGGATGTGTTCTGCTCACTGGGTCGAGGACCAATCACATCAGCAGTGGTCATGAAAACCTGAGAACGCCTGAATGCACCGGCGACTCCACCAACATCACCTCTGATGTGCTGATCACTGCTACAGTACCTGGAACAAACACACACCTGATCATTGTTAATATCGGTGCACAGTGCTGTATCTAAAACCTTTTGTTGCTTTTTGTTTTTGTTTTTTAAATCCACTTTTATTCAAATGAAGCATAAGATTTAGGTGCGCACTTCTGAATCGTTGCCTTGCATTGTTTTTATTTACTACTCAGAAAGTCAGCAGCCATTAAATATTTTGATCCTGGTAAAATAAACATTTGGAAGCAATCCATCATGACTGCTATGGTACTGATTAATAGTATTCAGTCAACCTTTATTATAACCATTATAAATTAATTAATAATCTTAAATTAAACTAATGGAACTTTTAGTTAACTGATTACGTTAATAACTGATACATAAAATAATTTATTACTTCTTTACCTTGTTTAACAAATAATAATTTTATGAATGTTAATATATTTAAAATGGACTCCATAGCTGATAAAAATGACATAATTACAGTGGCTTGCAAAAGTATTCAGCCCCCTTGAACTTTTCTACATTTTGTCACATTAC